TTTCGTTTGTTTGTATGGAAGTGTTACTAACCCTGAGATGTAGTGTTGTTCTCCAGTGCTGCATAGTGTTTTCGAAGAATGCAATGAGTGATGGATGTATTTTGTACATGTGTAGAATATGTAGCAGCCAACTGTGTGGAACACTGTCGAATGCTTTTCTGTAGTCTATATATGCCATGTGTATGTTTCTGTGTTGTTTGTGTGCTTGCCGTAGAATGACTGAATCTATGAGTAACTGTTCTTTGCATCCCCTGTGATTTCTACGGCAACCTTTTTGTTGTTCTGTAAGAATGTCGTGTTCTTCAACATGTTTGTATATTTTGTTTGTGATACAGGATGTCAATAATTTGTAGAGTGTTGGAAGACATGTAATTGGTCTGTATTGTGTGGGGTCTGTGGTTTTGTTGTTTTTAGGTTTCATGTAGGTGATGCCCTGAGTAAGAAATTTTGGCATGTCTTGTGGATTGATGATGATGTGTGTTAGATGTTTAGCTAGTTCCTGGTGCAGTGATGTAAACTTTTTGTACCAGAAATTGTGAATGTTGTCTACACCAGGTGTCTTCCAGTTGTGTGTTCTGTTAACAGCGTAGCGAATGTCGTGTATGTTTATTTCAGCACAGGGCATAGTTGGTATGTTGTGCAAGTTTCTGTTCTCCTCCTCGATCCAGCCTGCATCAGCATTGTGTGTAACAGCATTGGACCAAAGAGAAGACCAATAAGTTGTGAGTTCTTCTTCTGTTGGTGTGCCACTGTGCTGTGTATCAGTGTTTGTTTTGGTACTGATTTGTCTGTAGAAAAGTTTTTCATTGTTTGTGAATAATTTATTTTGTTGTTTTCGTAGTGTACATGTTTTGTATCGTTTGAGTCTACGTGCTTTGGCTGCGAGTTTTTGTTTTAGTGTATCGATGTATTCTGTAATGTGTGTGTTGTGATGTTCATGTTTTGTGTGTGTTTTAATTTTCTTGAAAATGTTTTTGAGTTGTTTCTTTAATTTGGGTGTTATGTTGTTTTTAGTGTATTGTGTCAGCCTGCCTAATTGCTGTCTAATGTCATTTATTTGTGTTTCTATTCTTCTCTGCCAGGCAGGCTTGTGATAGAATTGTGTTTTGTGTGTGTCTGTCTGTGAGTGTATTTTCAGTCCATGGTGTGTCACTACTGTGACTGCCCCAGCATAAACTAATGTATGAATGTCTGAGAGTGTAGAAATTGAATGAATGTAGTTTGGTAGTAAGTGAGTGTTTACATAATTTAGTGTTTTTCCTACTACCTTTGACGTGTTGATTTTCGGTATTCGTGGTCTTTGTGTGGGATCTGTACCTGTATATTTAGTGAGTGTTTCCTGAAATATAAGTGAGAGTGTATTAACTAATTCTATGTCTACGTTATCAGTGATGGATGGGGAAGTGCCTGCAGTATCATTAGTGGTACTTGTTGTGTGTGTGCTGTAATCAGTGCTTGTTGCTGGATTATCCTGACAGGTTACGTGATCTTCATTAATGTTAAATGTTTCTGTCTGTTGATGTATTTGATCAGCAACCTGTTGTTTGATAAGTTCAAGTGTTGTTTGTGGGATAAGGTTGTTGTGTATAATTGTTCTTTTTTGATCAACAACCCTTTGTTCGGTGACAGTGAGGTGAGGATATTGTTGTGTGAATCTATGGTGTAGTTGTTGTCTGTATGCTGTCATGTTTGTTTCGAGTCTTGTGATGGTGTAGTAAGTGCGGATGATAAACTCGTTCATTTCTGTTGTCCATTTCATCCGTTGGCGTGGTTTTCCAGCCTTTGTGGTCTGTGGATGCATTGCCACAGAAACACCAAGGCTAGGTTGATTCCTCACATCTGTTGAGGGCATTGCAGTAGCCATGCTTGGGCCGGCGCTGCTTTCGCCACCGGTAACCAAGGGAGACTGGAGCCTATTTTTCGAACGTGAGCCTCTGCCTAACCCACGAACGCGGACCTTGTTAACCCGGGCGACGTCCGAGCCGGTATCAAACTTCGATCTGGTTACTACCATAATGATTATCTCCACAGAATGTGGGTGTGTGGTCACTCTTAGCTTCATTTCTCCCCATAGACCTTACTGGCATGGGTGTCCCTACCAGGAGCTTGTGCTCCAGCCTGCATTGCCCTATGGATCTGTAAAACTACTGGGCTCTCCCACCACGACCAGGTGGTGACCACGGGAGAGTTATTATTATTATTATTATTATTATTATTATCAACTCGTCTCGATTACAGTAGACCCCTCTATAAAACGGGTTCATATAATTCGGATTCGTATATAACGGCGAAAAAATTGCGACCGTATTCATAGTAACACGCTAAAAGTATAATACGGTAAAACGTCATCGCCGACTCGTGTCGCGACAGGATTGGTCGAATCAAGACCAATAGCAGATATTGCACAAACCGTTGAGTTTAAACGAGCAGCGGACCTACTAAAAACCATTTATTATTTAACGTCCATAAAAATTATATTTATATTAATGATGTCTCCAAAGTTCAGAAAATTTTTCGCAGAAAAATAATTTATCAGGAAACACGCGCGCTCCGTTTGATGGGCCACTCCACAACGAAAACAAGCTTAAGCAATGGCGTCGTCGAACGGTGCATACTCGGTAAGTAATCCTACAATTTTTTGTTTATAGCGTAGTTTATGTGGATTATTCCCAAAAAAATTATACATGTTTTGGAAATTTTGAGTCAAATTAATATAGAATCGATTAATTTTATGGAAGAAAGCCTTTCAAAAAGCCGTAGTCCGTAAACTGCATACGTGCCGGGCTGTGATTGGCTCACGTATTTAAGGACTCGTAAAACATGAATTTCATAAAGAACGGAACGTATCTACCGTGTTATGGGAGGTCGACTGTATAGATGTAATGTAATCTACAGAGGCTCGTTTTCCGTAAACAGAAAATGACGTCACAAATTTTAATCTCTTGTTTTATAAATTTTAAACGTGAGGAATATTAATATTAATGCTAATAAAGTAATAATAACGCGGTAAAGCAAGGTTACACATAAAAAAAGGTAAACTAAAATTTCGATAGATCGAACCTACATCATCTAGCTTCAGTGCTTAGCGTCTTATTCACTCGGCTATCGCTACTCTCGGATATGACCTTTCTTCCTTAAAATGGTAAATATGGAGTGTGTAGCTCATTACTCCGAGAGAGGAGAATGTGGACACTTACGTCCGATTAGCCGGCCTTTAGATGAAATGGCCACACGCGCGCGGGAAAAAAATGCGTTCCGGGAAATTTTTTAACGGAAACTGGCCCCTATTCAGGCGTTTCAGACGTGGAGAAAACCTGAAAAACTCCACTGGCCAGCCCGTGCGCGTTAGGCACGAACTTCACGACCGAACTCCCAGTGTTCAGGGGCGAAGACCGCTTGGCCACTAATGGGCCGGATATGAAACTTCTCTTGAAACTTGGCTTATAAGCTAAACACCAAATTTTCATATGCCGATTTTTTGGAACGCTGGAAAACTGGATCCTATTATTTCGACAAGAAGCTGTTTGTCTTTAAGGATACGTGCTCACCAAGTTTCGTTCGAATTGGAGACCCGAAGCCCTCTCCTTGTAAATGACAGTTTAACTTGTTACTTTTTGCTTTCCAGATGACAAACTAGTAAGGCTACCAGCACCTGCATTAATTAGTCAGTAAAACTGGTGGCAATAAATAATTTGAAATGGCAAAAAAATTTAAAACCGGCGAAATGGTGGCGATATTTTTAAATTTTCCAGAGTAATCCCTGCTTATTACCATTGTCGTTGCGTTGGCAGCAATAAAGCTTTATGCTATTTCAATGCTTCCCTTCCCTTCTTGGTGCATAACTTTTTTGCCAACAAGTGTATAGTCAAAATTATAAATTATCTGTTTTCTGTACAGAAAGTCTTCATATTATGCCATCGACAAGTTTTTGGAAATTGCAACGTTAAGCGGAACGACGTATAAGGAAATCAGCTTTCCTAAAGGCAAAATAAACAAGGTTGAGTTTCCTATTGGATCATGTATACAACCTTCAGCATTTAATTCCCATCTCATGAAAAAATTTTGCTGTTTATAAAGAAAATTCAACAACAATCATTGTAAATGATTAAAATGTTTTCGACAACACTATAACGTTAAGACTTAACGACTTACTGTATTTATTTAATGAAACAAAATAGTTATTTTAAAATAAATTTAGTCTATGCTAATCAACGTTTTAAAATGCAAGTACTGTTTTTGACTTGAGCTAAAATTCCTGGAAAATTTACAAAATTTTTCTCCAGTCGCGAGAAAAAGCTTGAAAGCTTTCTAAAGTTTAAATTTGCAAATTTGAAACTGGAAATACTAGAATTTATTATAACTTTTAATTTTAGTAAAATGAGTAAATATGAATATTTCGATGATTCTCTCTCTCTCTGTTTTTACTTTCTGGTTAAAGTTTTACATTGTACTATACTCTTGCATTCGAAACTTCATATTACATTATGTTAAAATTTCACTTTATTTGTATCTGATATATATTAATATTTACATTTTTCGTCATATTGTATTTCCTCAATTGCTTGAAGCATTTTTTCATACTTAATTTCACTTCTCCGAAACAGAAACTCCTCTTACAATCGATTAACTCTTGCATTTACAGTCCAATTACGAGTAGACAACAACGTGGTTCATTATGCATAAATAATAGATGTTTTTGGCTATACTATTCGTAACATTTTTTAGGTAAACAGAAAAAGTCTAGACTCAGAAATTCTATATACAAGAAATCAGTTTTAATATTTGTAAATATAATATTTAAAATTGAATAAATGTTTATTTTTGAACTTTTTTTTAATAAAAAACCGAACTTTATTTATTTATTTTTCTATATACGTTAAGAAGATAATTTCCTTGATTTGAATAAAAATGAATAAAAATTAAAACAATGTATAATTTTTTTATAAAATTGACATTTATTGAAAAAAATATTTTATTACAAAATATTACAAAGAGGTTTGTACCCACAGTAACCATTTCCATCCTATTCCTCCTTATTCCAAGTCATTTAATAAAATAAATAGATAACAGAAATAGGGTTTGTGCACACAATTTCGATAGTTGACATATATCACATTAGAAAATGTTTACAGAATATTAATTGAATTTATTTTTATATTCACTAATCTATTATTTTCAGTGTAAACAAAATTCACGTTTCTTTAATACTTCAATTTCGTGATTATTTATTTAACCATTAACAATTGAGTCCAATGCCATTTCATTTAATAATAATAAACTAACCTATAAACTATCTTTCTGATCCGTCTGGAATTATATTATTTTCTTCTGAATTTTCATTCTTACCTCCGCATGGTGGACTTTCTTGTCCTGGCCAAACGCAAACGTCCTTTTCTTCATCGAATACGGTATTTTCTGGACAGTTAAAATTATAAACTCTAAATGATTTATCACCATTGTCAACACACCTATAAAATTTGTTACAGTCATCTGGATTTCTGAAAAATCCTGCTTTGCTACAATCCTTAGATTTTACTTCTGAGTTTTCGTTTGAAGTATTTTCATTTTCTTTCTCAGATCCTTCATTTTTACTTGATTCTGTTGTGGTAGTTTGCTTTGCAGTAGTTTTCGTTTTACTTTTATCGGGACAGGGTTTCTTTTTCTTTGGTGTTGTAGAAGAGCTTGAATCCTCGGTTACAGATTTTTCGGTTGAAGTACTTTCTGTTCCTTTATCATCTGTAGAGCTTGATTCCATACTTTCTTCTGTAGATGTAATTGTAGAAGTAGAGTCAGCTTTTGTTGTATCGCTCGAATCAGATGGAGTTTCTTGTTTTTCAGATGATGTATCATTATCACTTTTACCAGAAGAATCTGTGTCACAGGGTGGCTGAGCTTGTTCTGGCCAGACACATACGTCTAAAACATCATCAAACACCGTATTTTCGGGGCATTTGAAATGAAATATTTTAAATGATGTTCCGTTTCCAGAATAATCAACACATCGATAAAATTTGTTGCAGTCTTCAGGATGTCTAAAATAACCAGACTCTTTGCATAAATTTGAGGAATCCGAAGAATTGTCAGTTTGATTTGAATCATCTGTCACATCTTGGTCACCTTCTGTCGTTGCAGAACCATCCTCAGAACCTTTATCTGTTGTTTCTTTATTTTCATTTTCATTTGTGCTTTGTGTAGTGGTTCGTTTGTCTGGAGATTCTTTAGTGACTTTGTCACTTTCTTCATCTGACGTTCCACTTTTCTCGGTACTCTCATCTGTGGATCCTTCTTCCGCTGCAGGATCTTTAGTGGTTTTATCTCCTCTTTCATCCATTGTTTCGTTTTTAGCCTTTCCATCCCCTGATGAATCACAGGGAGGTCTTGCTTGTTCAGGCCAAACGCAAACATCAAGTATATCATCAAATGCCGTATTTTCAGGACAATCGAAATGAAATATAGTAAATGAAGTTCCGTTTCCTTCGTAATCAACACATCTGTAAAATTTTCTGCAATCTTCTGGATTTCTAAAATAACCTTCTTCTGTACAGATTTCTGATGATGATTTATTCTTAGAATCTCCCATTGAATCGTCTATTTCATTGGTCTCAGCATTGGTAGAAGAATCGTTGGCAGTTTCTGTACTTGATTCTGAACTTTTGTCCGATTTGTCAGGATGGTCATCTTGAATGTTGTTCTCATCATCGGTTGTTTTTGTTTTTTCCGTAGAAATATTATCGCCATCTTTCTCTGTGCTTTTATCATTATCTTCAGAACTTGGTTTAGTAGCTGTTTCATCTGTAGAGACTTTGTCACCATCTTTTGTGGTATCTTTTCCAGTGTCCATTCCATCATCTCTCTCTGATTCCCCATCTTTTGTTTCCGTTTCGTCTTTTTTTCTCTCAGAATCTTTTAATTTACATGGGGGTTGTGCTTGATCAGGCCAAGTGCAAACACTTAACTTTTCATCAAAAACAAGTTCTTTTGAGCATTCAAAATGAAAAATTCTAAAAGATTTGCCATTTCCTTCGTAATCAACGCATCTATAAAATTTGCTACAATTATTTGGATTTCTGAAGAATCCTGCTTTTGTACATTCAATTGAATCTGAATCATTTGATGATTCAGAGGATTCAGAATCTTTGTCAGTAGAATCTGAACTAGTTTCTTTCCCTGAAGCTGAAGTAGTAGTATCCATTCCAGTTTTTTCAGTTGTATTTATTTCGTCCATACTTTTAGTTGATTCTCCTTCATTTTTTTCTGTTGTTTCTTTATTTTTATTGTCATCACCGATATCTGTTTCTTTAGTTGAAGTATTTTCATCCTCAGAAGTTTCACAGTCCGGATCTTTATCATCTTGTGGTGTAGTAGTTTTAGTTGCAGATTCATCTCCACTTGAATCATCCTTTCCATCACTTGGCTTATCCTTTCCATCACTTGGCTTATCTTTTCCATCACTTGGCTCATCTTTTCCATCACTTGGCTCATCTTTTCCATTACTTGGCCCATCCTTTCCATCACTTGGCTCATCCTTTCCATCACTTGGCTCATCCTTTCCATCACTTGGCTCATCCTTTCCATCACTTGGCTCATCCTTTCCACCAGCTGGATCATCACTATCAGAATCAGTCGTATTCCCTTTGCAGGGTGGTTGAGCTTGATCAGGCCAATTGCAAACACTTAACACTTCATCAAAAACCAGACCTGATGGACAGTCAAAATGATATATCTTGAAAGCCTTTCCATCTCCGCTATGATCAACACATCTATAAAATTTACTACAGTTTTTGGGATTTCTGAAGTAGCCTGATTTTTTACATTCTGCTGCATCTGTATCGTTATTGTCTGATTTCGATTTATCAGTACTCTCATCCATTTTCGGAGTACTTACTCTATTTTCATCGTCTGTTTCTGTGGTTGTTTTGGTTTCTTCATCTGCTTTCGGAGTTGAAGTATTATCATCATCCTTGTCATCATTACTTTTGTCACCTGCATTTTTTCCAGGGTCCTCTGTAGTGGTTTCTTTATCTTCACAATCACTATCTGGGTCTTTTGTTACTTCACTTTCTGAAGTATTGTCTCCTTCACCACTTGGAGTGCTTTCACTACTTTCTGATGTGTTGTCTCCTTCACTACTTGAGGTGCTTTCGCTACTTTCTGAAGTATTGTCTCCTTCACTACCTGGAATGTCTTTGCTACTTTCTGAAGTATTTTCTTCACTAGTTCCTGGAGTTGTTTCAGTCTGTTCTCCTGTATCATCATTTGTTGTATCACCATCTGATGTACCTGAATCATCCTTAGAGGAAGGTTTACCGCTTCCTGAGCTACATTCTGGAACAGCACTTGGCCAATTACAAACTGAATTGACTTCGTCAAAAACTAAATTTTCACCACATCTAAATTCATATATTACAAAACTTTTGCTGTCATTATTATAATCAACACATCTATAAAATCTATTGCAATCATCAGGATGTCTGAAAAAGCCACTCTTTTTGCATTTTATTGGAGCAGTCTTGTTCTTTGAAGACGAACTATCATCATCTTTTGAAGGTTGTTCTGAACTTTCATCTTCTTCTGCGGGTTTTTCTGAATTTTCATTTTCTTTTGTGGGTTTTTCTGAACTTTCATCGTCTTTTGGTGAATCGGTTGCCAAATCTGAATCGTCAGGAGATTTAGTGTTTTTGTCTTTATCTTCAGAAGAATCAGTTGTATCTTTCTCTTTATCTGATTCCGAATCCGTTGTGTCGTTTGTTTCACTTCCATCATGTTTACACTTTTCTTTGTGATGGGCACAAGGAGAATCCGGAGGAGGTTCAACACAATCGTCCAGTTCTTCGTCATAAACCATATCATTTGGACATACAAATTCAAAAATCTTATAATTTGTTTTTGTATTATCAAAATCAGAACAAACATAAAATTCATGACAAAATTTTGGATGTTTGAATATTCCTTCTTTTTCACATTTTAAATCTGAGTCTGAACCATGCTTAGCAACAAAAATTCCTTTCATTGATCTCTGAGAATTTTCATAGTACACAGCTGATAAGTACGGGAAGATAGGAGGAGATTCTCGAAGAGATAATGATCGTGGATGTCTTTCTGCTCTTTTCTGATCGTGAAATAAATTTGGATTTGTTATTATATGTTTTGGTGGCTTTGAAATTACAACAAAGTTATCAAAACACGCAGGACTTTTTTCAGGCCAATTACAGCTCGAAATGCGTTCGTCAAAAACTAAATTATTTTGACACGAAAATGAATAACTTTTAAAATGTTTCGCTCGTTTTATACATCTAAAAAATCTTGAACAATTTTCTGGATGCCTGAAAAATCCTTCTTTTACACATGGATACGTTTCTTCTTCTTTCGGAGATGGTGTCGACTTCGGTAACGTTGGTCTTCTTGTAATTTTTACTATTTCTTTCGGCATTTCTTTATCTTCGTCATCGTCGTCAATATTAATATTGCAAGATATATTTTTACTTGGCCAATTACAAGTACTTAATCTCTCATCAAAAACGAGACTTTTTGGGCATTTAAAATTATAAATATGAAACTTTTTCCCAGATTCAGAATAACTGACACAACGATAAAATTTTCGGCAATCATCAGGATCTCTAAAAAATCCGCTTTTTTTACATTTTAACGAATACTTTTTTTCGTTGCCTTTTTTCAATTTTGAAGTTTTTGTTATGCCCTTCTTCTCGGTTTGTATTATAAATGGCTGCTTGTCTGACAAGGAATCATCACAAGGTGGAGAAAAGTCTGGCCAGTCACAAGTATCTATTTCTTTATTAAATAACAAACCTTCTGGACATGAATATTCAAATGCCGTTAACGATTTTCCTTTTCCATCGTAATCAGCACACCTGTAAAACTTTTTACAGTCTGTCGGATGAGGAAAAATTCCTTCTTTAATACAGTTATATTTATTACTTGAAAGAGAATGACGATGAAAAGGTCGCGTTGAATTGGAATGCTCTTTCACCAAACAACTAGGTGAAACAGGAACTATTGAACATGATTTAGTCCTTTCATTATACACAAGACTTGGAGGACAAGAAAGAGTAAGGAGAGCGTAATGACGTCTTTTGCCTTCTTTAATTGTGCATCTAAAAAATTTTCCACAGTTTGTTGGGTGGCTGAATAAACCTACTTGACGACATCGAAATCCATGTTGATATCTTCTCGCTAAAAAAGTAATTAATATTTATTAAAAATTCTTAACTTATAATCAATAAAAACATTTCTTTAATATGACAGCATTAATCATCGAAAATCAAACCAGTTCTAGCGACTTAAATATAATTAGCTATAAATATCAGTATACGTTAATCACTATTTTTATCTATATTTGCGTAGGTAGATTCAAGTTAAAATTTATTACATAAACAAATTTATGGGAATTGAGTATAATTAGTAAGTATTAAAATATGACGTTTATTTTTAATTATAGCTAGAAATAAATGGACGTTACGTTCAAGGTTAGATCGTGGGATGGTTACTCCTTTACAGAAATAAAACTTGACATAACTTAGATTATATTGAACTTACTGTATATTAGATTGTCGTCGATATTCGATAAGTTTGGTATTCAATTCCAACTAACGAAAGTTCATGAATTTAGTTTAGTTTAGACAAACTTAATTTTTAACTTGGTAAGTTTTAACTTTTAATATTTAAAATATTAAATGCCATAATGAGTTTTTTCAAATAGTTTTATTTGATTCAGATGTGGAAATTAACGAAGTTTTCGGTAAACTGGTATAAATGAAATTAATATTTCAACGGTATAATAATATATGCAATAAAAACTTTATAAGGTAATATTTATCTTAGTATGCAATTTAGAAAATTATATTTTTATAAATTTTTTGGTGGGTCAATTTTCTATAATACTTGATATCATTTTAAAATTATCTGTAATTATCTCGATACAGATAGAATATGTCGATATATAAACTTATATCAATTTTATGAAAAACCGTTAGTAGGTTATATTTATAATTCTGTTATCGATGGCTAGTTTATATTATGAAATAGGCATAGTAGCAGAAGGTATTTGTAAGCTAAAATTATTAAACAGATTCATCTGTATAAATTTTAAAGGTTCATTTTATAAAATTAACTATTACATAATATGTGTAATTCATTTTTAAGGTTAGTTTTTAATTTTTCAGAATAACAACCATGAATTGTTTCAAAAATTAAAATAGCAAACAAAAATTAAACTATAAATAGTAATTCATTAAAAATAATGTACGTATAATATATCGATGATGACTTTTTTTTAAATGTCTTTTTCTGACCACAAAAAAAAATACTTAATAACTTTTTTCCTATCTTTAAGACTAGTTTCTGTGGTAAATACAAGATGACAACCAAGATGATGGTTCTGTATATTTTCTTTTATTATGTATATTAGTGAATAATGCTTCAATATTATCTATCGAAATATATTTACAAATATTATAAATGCGTATTTATTTCTAAACAGTCAAAATATTACTATTATCTAAAATTTAGAAATGATTTTTTTCTCTTCTATAAAAAATAACAATATTCACTTTTTATAGAATACAAAATTACCATGCATACGCTTATATATTGAAGAACTGATACATGGATACGAATCAAATAAAAAGTCAATGTATGTTTAAATATTATTGATGGAAAATATCAACTTATTGTTTCGAAATTCGCTCAAGAGTAATGATATTTTGATATTCTTGTATTCTTGTGTCTAGTAATATAAATACATAAATATGGGTGATGGGATTTTGTGCTAGGTATAGAGATAGAATCTACTCCTTCACTAATAATAATATAGATAATTTAAATAAAATTAAACTGGCAACATATACAGTACTGTATAATTTTTCGAGAAAAAACAATTATATCGGTATAAATTTGTAAGAAATGCTTTCATTAAAAAGCAAAAGTTTTCTTTTAAAAATTACAAACTTTCATGCATTTTGTTACGACATATCAAAAATGTTTGAAAATGAATTCATACATTTCTATTATACAATATTATTATTATTATTATTGAATTTAGTAATTATAATTATATTACTTTAAACAAATTAATAAATAAATGAGAATACATACATTTATGACCATAGATTAAAATGCATAGATGAAAAATAATGCAAATAACTAAGTTCCATTTATCCATTTTGAAGGGAACCTGAAAAATAAATAATTTCATTAAGTAATATAATTTTATAGTTATTATTTAACATATTTCATTGTTAAATATGTAGATACGTAAATAATACACAATTCATATAAAAATTTTAAAAACACATAGAATATATATTGTAAAAAAGAATTTGAGAAGCTTAGAGAATAAAATAGACTAAATTGTTTTGAATATATAGTTGGATATATAATTTTTATAAAATATCACAAAATATATGGGTACCACATGAATATAACTATAAAATTTTTAAAATTATAAATAGTTGAAACAGGTTCACTATAAAATGAAATTTAAGAGATAAATTTGATTTATTGTAAACTGCTATGTCAGAAATATCCAAAATAACAACTGCTGCTGTAATTTTAAATATTCTTTTATTTTTGTGTATTAAAATAAAAAAAAACAAAACAATATAAAAAATATTAAATATAAATGTTGTCAGTGTTATTTGCGGCACATAAGTGACAAATGATAAGAAGATGAAAGTTTGAAACGTTTATTGTCAAAGGAAGTGCCAAAGATTATAATGTGGTTGTATGAATAAATTATTGTAAGTTTTGTATTGCTCATTAGAATGCAAACTCATATCTGCTATCACGCCTCAACGCAAAAATATAGTAACCCTCGTCATATCGCTCATTTGAATATATCGCGCTTATTTTTTGTCTTCCAAATATAGAAACGCTTTAGCGAACAATTAAAAAAAATTAGTTTACATTGAAGTTATACTGATTCCATGTAAAGAAATGTTATACCTGATTCCAATTCATAGCTTTTAAATTACCATTATATGAAGTACAAACCCAAAAAACAGCAAGTCGGCACGAACATCGAAAATATATCTCCATCTGATATATCGCTCATTTGGTTTGTCTTACGACAAGGGTGATACAACGAAGAGCTACTATACTAGAAAATACAATGTGGTTTTAAAAGAAAGAATTAAATATGATTACTCAGTCACTTTAAATCAGTGCACTCTGCGTTACTATTTCTTGGATTCAACTTTTGAAACATTAGAATACAAGGAACATTGAACAGTTTCCATTGTAGTTTTACTATTTATTTCATCACCATAGAATAATCGAAAGTTTATAAAATTAATAATACAATAAGATTCATTGATAATACTTCACATTTAAGTTTCATTTGTTTTAAAACCACGTTTTAGAGATAATATCACCAATGGTTGTCTCTTCTTTCGTAGCGCTTAATTATCTGACAGTAATTTTAAACATTAATTTAATCTCTCTCCATTTGTAACAATATTGCTACCTTGGTCAAATGAAATGATCTTTCTATCAGGAGAACTGTATTTCATAGCGTTCAGGACAGACTATCACATTTTAATTTTTTCATACGGAAACAGTAGCAATTTTAGATTATATGTTTATTTGAGTTTATAATATAAAGCCAGTATTATACGATACTTGAGATCCTACAAGTTTCTATGATTCTAGCTTAGTGCTGGATTCCGACTACTGAACCAAGATAAATGTTATAATCTAAAATCCAACTTTTATCTGTATCTAGTCTGAAACTTGCGTTTAAAACTACCACTTCATTAGAAAAGGATTTAATTCACATGAACTTCTTTTCCGTCAAATTCTATATGAACAATCAAATTTAAAAGTAATCTGATGTATCCATCGTTATATCAATCACCACAGTTGCTATATTAAATTATAAAATTTCCTATAATTGGTTAACACTGAAGAAGCATTAGAATAAATTAACTTCAATTACTGTACTATCCATATTTCCAAAACTGTATAATCCTAATAGATACGGGAAGTTTCAATTATTGAATTAAACTCAACAATGATATGGACGTCCGCAGAGGGGGACAAAAGGGACACTTATTTCCTGAGATCGAGTAAAAATTTCCACAAATATAATCGTAAAGTGATTGAGATAGGTGTACTGTACCATCCTCGTGTCATGGGACACTTTTGTCTGTCTATTTGTATTAATGTAATACTGTATTTTATAATCTACTTATTAATAAAAACCCCAAAAATTAAATAATGAAATAATTTATTGATATAATTATTTGCCTCCAAGTTTTGCCCCATTGGAAAATTTTCTGCGGATGCCCGTGGGTAATGATGTACATTTTTTTCGTTAATTTTTATAATTTAATTAATTACAGTAATGTAATNCAACACATCTGTAAAATTTTCTGCAATCTTCTGGATTTCTAAAATAACCTTCTTCTGTACAGATTTCTGATGATGATTTATTCTTAGAATCTCCCATTGAATCGTCTATTTCATTGGTCTCAGCATTGGTAGAAGAATCGTTGGCAGTTTCTGTACTTGATTCTGAACTTTTGTCCGATTTGTCAGGATGGTCATCTTGAATGTTGTTCTCATCATCGGTTGTTTTTGTTTTTTCCGTAGAAATATTATCGCCATCTTTCTCTGTGCTTTTATCATTATCTTCAGAACTTGGTTTAGTAGCTGTTTCATCTGTAGAGACTTTGTCACCATCTTTTGTGGTATCTTTTCCAGTGTCCATTCCATCATCTCTCTCTGATTCCCCATCTTTTGTGGTATCTTTTCCAGTGTCCATTCCATCATCTCTCTCTGATTCCTCATCCTTTGTTTCCGTTTCGTCTTTTTTTCTCTCAGAATCTTTTAATTTACACGGGGGTTGTGCTTGATCAGGCCAAGTGCAAACACTTAACTTTTCATCAAAAACAAGTTCTTTTGAGCATTCAAAATGAAAAATTCTAAAAGATTTGCCATTTCCTTCGTAATCAACGCATCTATAAAATTTGCTACAATTATTTGGATTTCTGAAGAATCCTGCTTTTGTACATTCAATTGAATCTGAATCATTTGATGATTCAGAGGATTCAGAATCTTTGTCAGTAGAATCTGAACTAGTTTCTTTCCCTGAAGCTGAAGTAGTAGTATCCATTCCAGTTTTTTCAGTTGTATTTATTTCGTCCATACTTTTAGTTGATTCTCCTTCATTTTTTTCTGTTGTTTCTTTATTTTTATTGTCATCACCGATATCTGTTTCTTTAGTTGAAGTATTTTCATCCTCAGAAGTTTCACAGTCCGGATCTTTATCATCTTGTGGTGTAGTAGTTACGACTTACTGTATTTATTTAATGAAACAAAATAGTTATTTTAAAATAAATTGTCCATAGTCTTCCTGCTTTTTTATAAATGGTGTGTTCTGATTATATTAAAATATCGATAAAATTAAATTATAAAATATATAAATTACATGAGATAAGATAAATTATCGTATGTAAAACTAAATCGATTTACCGAAAGAATTGAGCGTTAAATTGCCTTTCATATATTGAGTTTTTACTGGTAGACTTTTGCGTACTTAATAATCAACCTATTCTTTTTTTTCTATACAATGCTAATGAAAAGCTTATGTTAATCAATTCGAAATAAAACTTGAATATCAATCAAACCGTAGCCTTATCTATAACTTGTTTACAGGCTTAAGGGTTTTTAGTTAAAGAAAAATAATTAAAAACTATTTATCATTCGAAGTTTAGAAAGAATGAGTTTTTTACGTGTTGAGTAATGAACTTTTCAACAAAGCAACAAAACTATTTTCGTTTATTTTCAGTTGAATTATGGTTTTAATTTAATACACGAATTTGTCAATGAAAACATAAATAATATCCTACTAGTCATATGTCCCTGTTTAAAATACTTGAAAACATATTGTCCACGTAATTAATTCATTTATATTCTAGCATATGCATACTTTTAATCAAACTTATACTAGTTTTGAAAGAGAAAAGGGATTATAAATTTAAATTATTAAGTTAATATAATTAATTGCAAAGTGGTAATTAAAACGAAGCTAAATCAAATGATTTCCAAGCTTAAATTCAAAACTTGTTCATAGCTATAGGATCGTAGTCAAGGTGAAAAAACTATACAAGAACTTTTTATCTTTCCTGAAGTGAACATAATTAAGGCATAGAGATTAGGCATGGCAATTTTATTAAAATCAGTGGACTATCATTGGGTAAACAACGTCCTTCACCCTCAGACTGACCGTTTGACTAAGATCTATAGATGTGGTAAGTTCATGGTTCTACCAACCCTTTCTTTCTGTTTAAGGCTACTGACTCCTCGGCGACAGAAGCATCCTGTCGCGCAACTGCTAATTATAAAAAAAAAAAACAAAAAGTAAACAAAAAATGATAAACTAGGAGTCATTTTTAAGAACAACTTTTACGAAATTTGTATACAGATCAGATTTTCAAAAATATTCTAATTTATTCATATTAAAGTTTCATGCAAGCAAGGTCAAAATTTGTACTGAACTTTTCATTAAAGATTTCAACTAAGGTTCTTATTTGAGAAGCATAGGGTTAATGTTCTTTGCCTTCTTTTTTATATGCTTAATTTGAATCGAAAATCTTGTTCCTGAAATAAAAAATAAATTTTTTTTACTAACAGAAAGTTTTTTGGGTGTTTGTCATTGTACAAATAATAATTGAGATTTTAGAGCTTTAAAGAGTTGTATTTTTATAAATAGATTATCAGTATAAAATTGAAAAGCATTTTAACATAAAACATTGAAATACAGAGATATGCAATTAAAGATTTATTTAAAAATTTAGATATGTTAAACTTAGCTAAGAAATAGTTTCTATGCTGCATTTTCTAGTGGAAATTAAATATCAAATTAAATTTAGATCTAAATTTAATAAAATTTTTAAAAGAGTTGATATTAAATTTCATTAATATTGCTTTAAAAAACAGTTTACATATATTGATAGATTAATTTTATATAATTTCTTATGCCCATTGATTAAATATTTTTTTAAATCTTGATATTTACACTTAAAATAGTAAATGAAAACATAAATAACACAGCATATTAAATTAAAAAATATTTAGAAACATATTGTCTGTGTAATTAATTACTTTATAACTTATGCATGTTATTAATCATGCTTATAGTTTTTTTGTAATGATTACGTGGTTTAATGTTTGAAAATATCTAAAGAAAAATCAGTAATACGTTTAAATTACATTAGAAATGTTAAAATAAAATATATTGAAAATTATTGAAAAATATTTGATATAGCCTATGCAAGATATATTGGAAAATTTCTAAATAATGATAAAAAATGTTCTAGTTTTGACGTGGGTTTGTAAGATGTATAAAAAATTCGAGTGAAAATAATGAGACAGTTAAAAAATAATTTCAAATTGACGGGATTTGTTGTTATAAAACATTTATGTAAATGCGAATGCATATCTAACTTAAAAAATAACATAAAAACTAAGAGAAATGGCTTTGTATGATGTATAAAGCAAAAAAAAAAAGAAAAATATTGCTTAACCACTGCATAAAGATTGTTACCGAGAAAAACTAAAAGACGTTCACAAACAAGTTAGGAAGTATGCGATTATATTAGTGTAATTGTGTACACCTTATACTATATATAGTCTGAAAGTAGCTGACTGACATTGAATTGTTCATTTACAAGTTTAAGATTATACGTTTAGAGTCTTTTTGCTGCAGGTAATACTAGAAACGGCCAGTAAAGCATTAGATTGTGTTTTATGACTTTCGCAATATGTAATCTAATGTTACCTATGAGGATCGGGGTGGCCGTATCGTGACTCGGGGCTATATAACATCACAATAAATGACGGATAACGAGTTAGATGAAAGATAAACAAAGTACATAGCAAACTATTAGATAATTATGAACTATCCAAGTAACGTTATTACTAATATTGCGTAAAAGTGTTAATTCGTTTACTATTATTACAACGCAAATTTAAATTATTTCCGGTTTTCTTTAAACAAGTAAAATGAAATTACAGTATATTTCGACGTCGTAGATTTAACTTCACAAATATTTTAAATTCTGGAGTTGTTTTGAAAATTTATATTTAAGGAATCAGAAAACATAAATAAGATCTAAATGGAGATAGTTATTAAATGTATTCTGATAATATTTGAAAACATTAACACAATACAATAGCTAAATTTAATTTTATTTTATAAAAATTTGTTTAAAAAATTATTTAAAAATTAAAAACTATTTTTTATAATTTATTTAATAAATTATTTATTAATGTTTTCTTATATTTAATAATGTTTTTGTTTTTATATAAACTGACAATGCATACTTAAATAATAGAAAAAATATTTTTTTCTCAAACCAAATAACACTTATTGTATTAGAGAGTTTTGTTACAAGGGAAGACTATTAACAACTCAAAAGAAACATAATTATATATTTTACAATTTTTTTCTTCCTATAATATAGGCATTATATTATAAAGAAATTTTTTCTTTATACATATTTATTACTTTAGAACAATAAATTTAATTGCATCATAATAATTTAAATCTTAATAAATTCTAATGCAAAGTTATATAAATTAACAATTTGTTGTTAGATTGGCTTTATGAAAATACTCATTTAACATTTTTTCCTCTGCCATTTTTTTTAAATTCCACTAGATTATGATATTATTGCAGTTTGAGTGTTTTTTTACATGAACAAAAAAATATAAATTTTTGGACAACTTGTCTCTATATCTGTGACAGTCACATTCTGCAAAAATAGCTGTCTTAGCTGCATAAAGAATTTTTTCATATAATGAAGTAAATTATAAGACACACAACCATTTATTTTGGGATAGTTTAAGATAATTAGGTACCAATAATAAGTTTTGAATTTTGTGCTTTAATGATGTCTTAAACGTGACATACCAGTATATTAACTGACACAGCAAACCTTTTCTTAATTTACTTCTTTCTATAAACGGCCAATAGAAAAACTTTCTATAGAAAAACTTAATTATCATCTACTATTTTTATGAAGAATGTTTTGTTTATTTGCATTGTTGTAATGAAAATTATAATTTTTGACAATTTTCTTTGTATTTTACGAAAATGTTTTTATAAATTTGATAATTATTTTTATTGTTTTTTAAAGAATTATTACAATTAATATAGCATATTTTAAAATAAAATCATGCAATTTTATTAAAAATATGATTTCATTTTTCAAAATTTTTCAATTTTCACTTTTTCATCAAGAAAAAAGAAAAAAAATGTGATATTTTATAAAATATTTTATTTGTAAGTATCTTAATAATAATTTCTTTAATAAATAATTGGTATTGATACAAAGGCAAAAAATAATGGAACTTATTATCAAAATATAATTACAGTAGTTTATACATTTGAAATTTTAATATATGTACTGTATAGTGGAATAGCATTCTTCATTTTTCTATACTTCGTACAGATCTAATTTATTTCAGTAGAATTCAGCCATTGAGCTTGACCTATCATATCTTTTCTGACGACTAAATTTAAATTCAAATCAAGTAGCAGCCCAGAGTGACGACCAATAATGTTAATTTTTAACCTTCTGTAACCTCTTTTTGACCTAGACAAGATAGAGATGTTTTGAATTCGTAAGCGCTATTAAAGGTTTTAGCTCTTTATGGTATGACTTCTCTCTGTTAGTTGTTTTCAATATTTCTTTAATTTAAATTAATATGGACATATTTAACGTTTCATTGTTACATAAAATTTTGTGTAATTTAAATTTCTAATTAAGATTAATTAAACTTGCTTAATATTTTTTGTATAAATCAGCCTTTTTCGTATTAAGATATTCGAAGAAAGCGCGCATCAAAAAATCTGTGCTATTCTTTTAAATGTTATCAACCATGTAATTTATGTCTCATTTACATTGAAATTGAACGATAAAAACAAAACTATTTTAAAATCCATGTTTGGTATTTACATCCGTTCATAACAAGAGTAATGTATATTAACTTCAACCCTTTCTATCCATAGAATGCTCAAGGCAATTATATCTTCGACCGTCAATGACCTTCTAGATATATAGAGACTGAGACTTATTCAACCTTGAACTAGGCATACCTTATTTCACGTGGAGCTTGATATCAGGTAAATAACTCGTGCAACATAGATAAACTAAATTAGATTAATTATTATTCATAAAAATGTTTTGATAAAATTTCAAAAATTATACAGATTAGATATGAATGTCGGAGTCTGTATATTTGATTAAATTTCTACTAACGAAAACA